ACAGACACCAGTAGGCATATGTATATACATACACATCACAGCATTACAGACACCAGTAGGCATATGTATATACATACACATCACAGCATTACATACACCAGTAGGCATATGTATACACATACACATCACAGCATTACATACACCAGTAGGCATATGTATATACATACACATCACAGCATTACAGACACCAGCAGCCATACTCCAAAAGATTAGGTTGACCAGACCAGTTGAACATCATACTTATTTTACTGTGCTTTACTGGTTTCAAAACTTAATGGCTTGTGGGACAAATGAAAACGTACATATATTTTTAATAAATATTGTCAAATGTGGAGGCAAGGGGGTGCCTCCTGTCACCCACAATGTTGTTCATATTATTACTTACTGCTTTACTGGAATCACAAACTTCAGGCCATGGGTATAACAGACCACGGGCAGAGGTACTGGTCTGTAGAGGACTGAAGACTGGACACCAACTGACTTCACCTGTAGGTATAGCAGACCACAGGCAGAGCTACTGGTCTGGAGAGAAAAGCTGACTTACAGACGGTGTGACTATCCACAGACAACATCACACAAGACAGCATTACATAAAGCATGCAACGCCTTCTGGCCTGTTTACTGTTAACATGCCTGGGGGCTTTGAAGAGCTGGGTTTTTTACTTCTATCAAATGATAGAGTTTTGTTTCCTCTCCTCTGTTCTCACATTCAGGAGGTAAACAGATTGTTGAATATCCTTATAGAAAAAGATTTTAAGATACCTTTAACATTTAAATTGTTCTTTGTTTTTGGCAGAGTAATTATATGCTAGTTGTATTATACAGTAACATTTAATTAAATATTGGCTGGTTTAACCACAAAGCCACATATTTATGGTGCAGTTTACACACCCTTCTGTCTGATTTAATTTTAATTTTCCCAAAAAAGCAAAGGAATCAAGGTTTCTGAGCTGGTATGTGCAAACCCATGATAATGTTTCCGCAGAACATTACTTATTTTTAACCCTGAGTTGTTTCAGGATATATAGAGATATCACCCTTCTGATTGCCTTACCTTTCGACATACAAGCTGTATTTCTACTTAAAAACACAAGAGGACATGTGCATGTGGTAAACTGCATAATCTAAAATAGATTTGCAGTTCATTTTGTCTTCACCATGCCTGTGGTGTTTCTGAAGCACCCACACAAGCCACAAGGACAATAGCTGTACAATGACAATACATTTACAGAAGATGGACCGTTTCCGTAAGGAAGAGCTATTCTGTGAATATTATGACATTACATTTCCAGTCCAATCATAGATATGACTATTGTCTTTTTACTTCTGTGTTTCAGTGCTAAAGTGCTTGTTGTTCTGACCAACAAAATTCAGTTCAATTCCATTTATATATTATACAGTGCCTTTCACAACAGAGTCACCCCAAGGGCTTTACATGGGTGTGTTGTGATACAGCGCAACACGATAAAGAGAGAACAATGCAAAAACAGTGAAATGGAAAGAAAGAGAAATAAAAGAAAGCCAGATCACAATGGATCACCAGATCCAAAACCAGATCACCCAAACCTCCCAAGTAATCAATGTTACAGTTTGTAAGTCACATCCACCATCTCACGCCTCCATGGTACTGAACCCGAACTCCAGCTCAGATGGTGCCCAACCTGCACACCACCCGGACATGTGGGAAGGCAGGCAGAGAGCATGGGTGTTCAGAACATACACTGACGCATTAATGGACATGCACAGTGGATATAAATGGCATGTACAGCACCATTTAATATTCACTGATATCACATAAATCAAAACATAATTAATCAAATTTATTCATTAATCATTCACATTAATACACGTGAAATTTTCACAATTCTTTTGACAATTATGTACCTGGAAGTTACATGAATTGCTATGTGTTTGTGGTGGGTGAGGCTGTATTCTGCACTGTTGTTACTGAAATACTATAAAACAATACTTAAAAAACAAAAGGATCTCATTTAGCAAATATTTAATATTTCTTGCAGTTTTTTTTTTGCATTTAGCAGACATGGATAATGTATTGGCACACGCTGAGATTCTTTCGCCCATAAATCCCAACTATTTAACTAAAAATGGACTCAGAAAAACTGCCAAAATCCCTTTGTCTGATACTCAGTAGCTCTCCATTACAAAATGTCTCTGCACATGTATTTGGCTTTTTTACAAGTGCCAGTTTAGCTAATTATTCTTATACAAATATTTAATATAATATCTAGTATATATTATAATGTTTATTAATGTACATTAAGGCTGTTAAGGTCTGTTAGGATGTTAAGGTATGTTAGGATGTTAAGGTCTGTTAGATGTTAAGGTATACTTACATGCTGCTTAGGAATGCATCATAAATGTATTATGAATGTGCATTTAATGTGAAAAAGGACAATAAATATTCTGATTCAGAGTCTTTTTGCATATGTACTTTACATTAAGCACATTTTAACTATTTCACACCATTAAAATGTGTGAAAGTATTGGTATAAGACTGACAATTGTAAAAAGCCAAATACATATGCAAGATATTTTGCAATTCTTTGGCTGTATGATGCACAACCCTCCAAATTCCTTTCTCCATAATGAACATGCAAACAGGAAGATGGGTGCTGTGCAGGAATCGTGCTCCTCCCTGGCTGTGGTGCCCTGAAGCCCGCAGGCCCTGCTCAGTGGCTTCTGCATTAGACATCCTTCCAAATGAAGGCCATGTTGACAAGGTGTTTCACAATAAATGTGAAGGAGTGGGGGACCCTTGGTGACCATGTCATGGGGGAGTGGTGGGTGCACAGAGGACTGTGAGGATAATTCTGTCTTCGAAACTTTCATAAACAGCTCTGTGAAGCTGTGGGTCGGTGCAGATATTTAAGGGCTGCTTGTGACCATCTCAGCAATGAAGAGCCTTCATCCACTTCTCACTCAATCAGTCAGGTCTTACAAAGAAAAAACACAGATTTTACATTTATAGGAACTGTGTTAATATTTTTCTTTATTCATTTAGTTCATTTGACTGAAATCTGCCAGACTTTGTATTCACATTGGTTTTTTTTTCCACCAGGATGAAGTCAGCCTTAATATTGGTTTGCTGTCTTTATATGCCAACTGCCTTTGCTAAACAAGTAAGTTTTCATTGAATTAAAAATGACGTTTTTAAATTATTATTCTCAAACATTAACTTTGCTTACTTTCATTTAACAGATATTTCAGAAAGATGATTTGGTTGATCATCCTCAAGAGACAAGTTCTGTGAGTAATACTGTAACTTCACAAGACTTAATCATTATGCATCATATTTATTTTGATAGGTCCAAATAAAAATCAAGAGGATTAAGGTGCACTATAATCAACAGTTTCAGACATTTCTGTATGTACTGTGTAAATTTTTTTGTATTTAGATTTACTTCTTTATTTCCCGGAAGCAAAGTTCTGTTATTTATTCAAATGTGTTTCCCATTGTTATTATTATGTTTCCATTTATTTTTCATTAGTAGTTGATTATAAAATTACTGCTGTCAGGATCATTTTATGTACTATAAGATGTCACAGTCTTTTTCTTAAGAACATTTTTGTCTAAAACATCAAAATTGAATAAATTTACTATAAAAAATTCCATTAGTTAGTTTGCTAGGATTGTCTTAGTTTGTTATTGGTTCTGAAAGAGCAAAGAAAAAAAAAACAACGATAAATCATCATTTCTTTTCTATCCTGATCGTTTAAACGATTGGACTGGTCTTTGGTTTATGTTTGCACAAGGAGATAAATAAGTGAAATAGTGAAATACTTAGGACTTAGAGACAAATGTCGTCAGATGTCTTTAGTGTTTCAGGTTTTGTCTGTATTGTTCTTTCTGAGATTCCAAAAACAAACAAAAAGTAATAGATAATAGTTCTTTCCTCTAAAAACATAATGAAGAATTTCGATCATTAATTCAATGGCAGAAAATCTACAAATGATTCAGACAATTAATGAGCAGTAACTTATTTCTGTATTTTATCAGATTTCTTTCACATTTGTTGTTATCCACAGATCATGCTACAAAGTTTCTTTTCACAAAGTCTGGATCAAAGACCTGAGGTAGATGCTGATGAATTGTGCAAGCTAAAATTACATAAATATTACACAGAGTTTAATATGAACACTGTATTTCACCAATATATCACTAATTCACTCTTTATTGCTATGCCAGAGTTTGCCAGAAAATACTTCTGAAAATACCTCAGAAAATTCTTCTGAGAGCACCTCGGAGAATACTTCTGAAAACACTTCAGAAGATACTTCTGAGAACACCTCGGAGAATACTTCTAACAATACTTCAGAAGATACTTCTGAGAACACCTCGGAGAATACTTCTGAAAATACTTCAGAAGATACTTCTGAGAACACCTCAGAGAATACGGTAACATAATAAAAAGCCATAGCTTGTCATTTCAAAGGTAGTGGCCTGACAGCAAGGGCATCTAAAGGGTTGGGTAGCTCTACACAGCACTCAATAAATCTGTTCATTTGAGAATCAAAAAGAAATGCTCATGGTCTTTCTACTCACAGGCCTCAGAAGAAGACAATACACCTGAAAACTTGGTAAATTCATTATTCTGCATTTTTTTGCACAAGACAAGATAATTGAAGTCTGTAACCATACGCATCTTTGTATGTCGAAATCACTGCTTACTTATTATTTATGGTCTTGAACTCTGAACAGAGTGACCATATTCAAGCTGGAGAAAAAAGAGATGACAAGGAAGAGCAGACTCTGAATGTGAGCACACTGTTATCTTTACTTAAAGCATACAGTGTACTGTTGGAGGCTGCAGATACAAATACTGATATCGTTTATGTTCTTGATTTATTGAAACCAGAGCTGGATGCGGGTGTTCAAGGCTACTGTGAAGAGTGCGGATGCCAACACAGAGAACAAAGACAAAGGGGACGAACGGATCCGTCATGAAGACACTCTGGTGGTAAACCATGCTGAAAGAAAACACTCTACTAAGCAGATCAGTGATAATGCAGAGAGCAATGAACCCACAATGAATATGTTTGTAGGCGAATGCCAGGACAGCATAAATCAAGATGACTGTGAGAGCAAACAATATACTTTCCAAACATCAGATGACCTGTTTGATCCAAACCATGGCTTATTAAGGCCTGACAATGAACAGAGGGATCCGTAACTGTGGTAATTATGCCACAGAACATTGTATCCTAGCATGTGTCGTTTTTTTTTCTTCTAAAAAATGTTTATTTTTTCTTTTTTCAATTTTTGTGCTAAATCAAAGTGATAAGCATTCAAAATCAATATGCCAGCCTCATTTAAACGTTCAATCATTTACACAGTAAATGTATTTTTTTTTTTACATTTACTGTGTAAATGCTTCAATAATTTGTTGTTTCCTCACATCTGAAGGGGTAGTTGCTCTGCAATTGCATTATAAATGGTGTGATGATAATAAAAGGCTTCCAATTGTAATTATAATTTTCTTCTGAGATTGAACTTAAAAGTAACTAATTTGGCTAACTTTACACCATGTAATAGTGATGGAATTTGATAGACCAAAGGACTCACCCCAAAAAACATCAATAGAGGGTTATGTTACAGTGTGGTTTATACTGTATGACGTGCTACATCACATTGCATATTGCATTGTACTGTATGAAATATGCAATATGCCATCAAATGTAATAGTAATAGACCACCAAATACAACATTTTTTAGTCATATTATCTATATAACTATTGTATACAGTCTTTATTGACCATTGAATACATTTTACATTATATATGCTTCACTATTCAGAAATTGAAAATATATAACTGTACAATCTTGTACTTTTTATGTATAACATATACTCAGATATTTTCTGTTGTCTTACATATGTTGAACTCTTTACAAAATACAACTGTCATCGAAAATGAGTGTTTATAATAAAGTTTATATAATTAAGTTTTATTGGTGAAAATTCATTATTTAGTTATTTGATCCAGTTATTTTATTGTAGATGGCTATAAAATTGTTAGTTAAAGAAAATATAATGAAATATATTTTATCCATCCATCCATCAATTAACTTCCGCTTATCCGAGGTCGGGTCGCGGGGGCAGCAGTCTCAGCAGGGAAACCCAGACTTCCCTCTCCCCGGCCACTTCATCCAGCTCCTCTGGGGGAATCCCGAGGCGTTCCCAGGCCAGCCGAGAGACATAGTCCCTCCAGCGTGTCCTAGGTCCTCCCCAGGGCCTCCTCCCAGTGGGACATGCCCGGAACACCTCACCCGGGAGGCGTCCCGGAGGCATCCTAAGCAGATGCCCGAGCCACCTCATCTGGCTCCTCTCAATGCGGAGGAGCAGCGGCTCTACTCTGAGTCTCTCCTGAATGACCGAGCTCCTCACCCTATCTCTAAGGGAGAGCCCAGCCACTCTGTGGAGAAAACTCATTTTGACTCGCGATCTCGTTCTTTCGGTCACTACCCATAGCTCTTGACCATAGGTGAGGGTAGGAACGTAGATCGCTTGGTAAATCAAGAGCTTTGCCTTTTGGCTCAGCTCCTTCTTCACCATGACAGACTGATGCAGCGCCTGCATCACTGCTGACGCTGCACCGATCCGCCTGTCGATCTCCCGCTCCATCCTTCCCTCATTCGTGAACAAGACCCCGAGATACTTAAACTCCTCCACTTGGGGAAGGCCCTCCTCCCCCGACCCGGAGAGAGCACTCCACCCTTTTCCGGCTGAGGACCATGGTCTCGGATTTGGAGGTGCTGATTTTCATCCCAGCTGCTTCACACTCGGCTGCGAACTGTTCCAGTGAGAGCCGAAGGTCACAGTCAGATGAGGCCAACAGAACCACATCATCTGCAAAAAGCAGAGACCTAATCCTGAGGTCACCAAACCGGACACCCTCAACGCCCTGGCTGCGCCTAGAAATTCTGTCCATATAGGTTATGAACACAATCGGTGATAAAGGGCAGTCCTGGCGGAGTCCAACTCTCACCGGGAATGAGTCCAACTTACTGCCGGCAATGCGGACCAAGCTCTGACACCGGTTGTACAGGGACCGAACAGCCCTTATAAGGCAGTCCAGCACCCCATACTCCCGGAGCACTCCCCACAGGATTCCCCAAGGAACGCGGTCGAATGCCTTCTCCAAGTCCACAAAGCACATGGTTGGGCAAACTCCCATGAACCCTCCAAGACCCTCCTGAGAGTATAAAGCTGGTCCACTGTTCCACGGCCAGGGCGAAAACCACACTGCTCCTCCTGAATCCGAGGTTCGACTATCCGACGGACCCTCCTCTCCAGCACCCGCGAATAGACCTTACCAGGGAGGCTGAGGAGTGTGATCCCCCTATAGTTGGAACACACCCTCCGGTCCCCCTTCTTGAAGATGGGGACCACCACCCCGGTCTGCCAATCCAGAGGCACCGCCCCCGAAGTCCACGCGATGCCGCGCAGTAATTGTAGTAATTGTAATTATTATTTCTAATGATCTAACCAGTTCATACAGGGGCTAAAGCCACGCTAAAATAGGCCTAACAGTGCCACTGGTACTGTACAGTTAGAGTTAGAGGTGCACTACTGTACTTGATAGATTCCCCTACTCTTCCTACCTTGGGCTTCCAGTGGGGAGACCTGAGGTCAATCCAGCCCTGCCCCCCTCCCTCGTCCCATCTCGTACTTCTCAGTGGTAGCCTGCCTAAGTAGAATCAGGTCACCCATTCCAACAAGGTTAATTGACCCACTCGATTACATGATATCATTGACGTGACATGCAAATAATAGCTAGAAAACTGATCACGCAAATATCACCATTGCATTTTTTTTTTTTTCCCGGCGCCCCATGTTGCCCCCAGCAGGATTCTTGTTACTTGTCTATAAAAGGCACACAATTGTATCTTTCTGTACAAGTCCTGTTCAAGAACAAAATATCTAGGGTGTGTTTCCTGAAAGCAGTTGTTTCCTGAATTTAGTTAATTATCTCACGCTTAAGATCAATCGTCCAATTGCAAATCCATTCGTACCTCACTTGTAAACTGAAGAGTGCTCCGACCCACTTGTTATTTTCTATGTCGTTCTTTTGTGGAAGGATTTCTGCGGGAAATAAGTGTGGGGTAGCCTGGGTGGGGGCTTAGTGGCATTCACTTGGCTTTAGGCCTTAGGCAGGAATATCAGTGTCTGTCCTTGTGCTGTGCTTAAGCTGCTGGTACAGAGGTTGTTTGCCTGTGCCTGCGACCTTGGCACGAGAGAGAGGCCTCCTCCGCGGTCCTGCCAGATAACAAGAAAACATCCACATGGGCCAAACTGAGCTGCAAGAAGAACTTTACATTTAGAGGCTACTTTAATACGTTTTAATACTGTAATTCCACCTCTTTTGGTGGTAATGAGAAATGTAACCAATTACCTTTTCAAATTAAATAACGCAATTAAAATTTAAATGAGCTCATTATTCATTACTTTTGTCTTGCGTGAGTCTATTCCCCTAAAATTTTATTTAATCAGTCTAATGTCAACTGACCTTATGCTGGAACAATGAATGGGTGATATTAGGTGCAGTGATCGATAAAATTTGACAGTTATCTTGTCTTGTACTGTCACAGCAATAACATCAAAATAAAACTACAGTACACAGACAGTACACATGCATTGGCATAATGTCTCCACAATGCTTGAAAATCCTCCAGCAAAGCATTTCTATGTCACAGAGACATCGCTAGTTCAAATTTCAAATTTAAGTTTATTTTAAAAGCACTTTTGAAACAACTGTAGTCGACCAAAGTGCTGCACAATATGATTTGTGAGTCACGTACATACATGACAACAAGATACAGAAGCATTGAACATAAACACACGGACAGTGTCCCAATAAAAACTACCACAGGGCCAACAGCGACTAGCTGATCTAAACCGGGTCAAATAACATGGGGATGAAACAAACAAAACTGAAAATAAAAACAGGAGATAGAAACAAGTAATTAACAAATAAAAGCCAAATTTACAAGTGGATAATTTGTAATTGGATAATAAAAAGGCTGTTATGAACCCCAGTCTAGGGGGTTGGAGAGCATCAGGATAGATGTGTGGGTGGATGTGTGGGGGGGGGCAAAACAAACACGGTGCACAAAACAGGGACGATAAGCCGAGTGTGTATTTACAAGTTTGCTCACCATAATGTAGTTACAACCTTCAAGAGTGACCCAGGCCAATACAACAAACAATCTACCTCACCGAGTCCCAAACTAACTCACCTACAAAGGAAAAATAATACAAAAGACAGTCACTCTTACTATCTCCCTATCCAAATATACAAATAAACTGGTGGTCAGTACACAGGAATGGCAAATACAGAGAGCAGGTGATCAAAAATCATGGGGCAAAGAAAAAAGCAATAAACCAGAAAACAGACCAGAGTCGTACACAAGCAATCAAAACAGAATATAGCACAAAGCACAAGCAGAGGAGCAAACTGGAGCTGGGGATTTGGCGTGGTCGATCCTCTCCTACGACTAACCCGGAAGTGACGACGTCCGACCAGAACATAACAGGCGCAAATTACACAATACATAAAAAACCCAAACCCTTGCGATACGAACCCAAAACCTTACGGCACGTAATAAGGCTCTCAAACTGAGTTAAGAGCTACGGAATAAAAATACGCTTTGAGATAAGATTTAAAAGATGACAACCCCTTACATAGAGGGGTAATTCATTCCAAAACTTGGCTCAATGACTGCAAATGGCCGATCACCTCTTTGCTTCAATCTAGATTTTGGAACTATTAGAAGAACGTAGTCTGCTGATGTCGATGGTTTACGTGGACAAGGTCAGAAATGTAAGAAGGAGCTTGACCATGCTGTGGAGCCAGTGGAGGGAGTCCAGTGTTGGCGTGATAAGCTCCTGTTTATGTGTCTCTGTAAGAAGACATGCTGTAGCATTTTAGACAATCTGCAGGTATGAAAGCTTGACTGATCAAACCTGCATCTCCAGATCAGTGAAAGATAAAAAGGTCTTAACCATAGTTAAAACACTCAGTTGGAAAAAGTTAACTTTAACTACAGAGTTAATTTGTTTTGTCCAATTTAAGCTTATAATCCATTATGACACTTAAGTTTCTAATTTTAGGTTTCAAAAAGTCCTCCAGGGAGCCTAATTTTGATGGATGTGCATCACTTAGCCCCATTAAGAGTACCTCAGTTTTACTATCATTGAATTTTAAATAGGTAGAGGCCATCCAGGATTTAATGTCCTCAAAACAGTCTAGAAATCAGTTTAGTGAGTCCATGTTATGCTGTTTCAGGGGCAGATCAATCTCAATTGCATAACAATGCAATAGGTTCATACTTTCTTACATCTGACCATACAGGAAGCATGTACAAGGAGAACGGGATTGGCCCCAAAACAGAGTTTCGAAGAACCCCACAGGACAAATTGTGCTGATAATGACACATAGTCATTAATACCGATAGAATAACTCCAACAAATAGGACCTGAACCACTCTAGAGCAATGCCTTTCAAAGCAACACAGTGCTCTAACTGAGAATAAAAAACATTGATTCAACTTTCCCCTGATTTCTGTGCGATATATTTAGTTTTTAGCCTACTGTGATTTTTCCAGATTAGGCTATATAACTCACAATAGGTTTATACTATATGTATTTATATAGGTTTGTTCTGTTTACCCCACATAGCAATATTTATTTAATGTTTAAAACAATGTACCCCACAAACAAGTTAACTCATTAAAAGTTATATATTTATTATTTTAAATACATTCAAAAACATCACAGAAATAGTAACCACAGGCCTAACAGTTATCCTGACGTGATTAAAGAATGCCTTAACTAAAGTCGTAAATGACATAACAATGGCAACTGATGCTGACAGCACAACTGTGCTAATGCTTCTGGACCTTAGTTCTTCTTTTGACACGGTTGAGCATTCTATCCTAATACA